GCCCATGATGTGGCCTTTTTTCTTAGCGAGCATGTCTGGCAGAAACTCCTGGACAGTGCTCCAGTGACTCAGAAGATTTATATCGAACATTCTGTTGAGGTTGACCTGGGGGATGTCTTTGACAGTCCACGCGTTACCGATGCCGGCATTGTTGATTAGTATGGATGGTGAGCCCAAGTCGGAACGAATGGCTTCCGCCGCCTGATGGATGTTGTCTCGCGATGTAATGTCACATTTGTAGTATCGTACGAGGGCAAGCTCATCTAAGATCATTAGCTTGAAACACGGCGATCCTGTGCCGCAACGTACCTTTGGTAAAGATTTCTGACAGGGGGCTAACGTCGAGAACCGCGACTTTGATGCCATGAGAGGTGAGCTTCTTGACCACACAGCCTCCGATACCCGCCGAACCACCTGTGACTACAGCGACTTCATTCTTCCAATCCCAAATAGACTTGTCGGTCCTCCAGAGCCATCGCCTTTCGGCAAAGCGATTGAGCACCGAGTTGAAGTCTACAAGGGCCCATATCGGCAACGCCCACTTGAGGTAGTAATGGAGGGTTACAAGCTGACTGCTGGAGAGACCGAGTTTCCCACCAAGTCTGAAGTACTCGGGTTTGGCGACTCTGAGCAGCACGGCTGCCAGTGTGAGCAAGGCACATCGGATCATGATGGGGCTGGTAGATGGGGCGAAAGGGTTTATTGAAAATGGGGGCTGATGGGGGTCGAGGCAGGTACTATGCAGGTACTGATACGAAGTTTGGGGGCTTCCAAGAAAGGGCGAAAGATAGGCAAACGATTGAACGCCTGTCCAAGGCAGCAGTAAATGCCCAAGAAGTCATATGTACTTTTGAGGTTTGCTGGGTACCGAGGCATGTAGGACTAGCCTGGACAAGCGTTGTAGATCATGTATCGGAACTGGGGCCGCCATTCGCTAGTCCCGCGACGCGATATTGACGATTGAAATATACAGGATTGAACATATCTTCCTAACGACGCCACCTTCGCAATTAACGCATGTCGTTCGCTCGTCCGTACAGTCTCAGCGGTACGCTTACGCCGTTTCTGTATCCCGCCTTTCTCCACGTGCCACTTGCCTCGGCAGCGCGCAGATGTCCACTCCGCAAACGATTCCCGCTACAGCTCAGATGCAACTCCACGTCTGCTGAGCAGTCCGATGCGAACCCAAATGCGCAATCTTCGCGATTAGATCCAACGGCGGACGACTATTCCCTCACGCCTTTTGCCGACCGATGCATCCTCACGGTTGAAGCTGGTGGCGGCGGCCACGGCTGCGTCTCGTTCTTGCGCGAAAAGTACATTGAAGAAGGGCCTGCAAATGGCGGCGACGGTGGCAGTGGAGGCAACGTCTACATCCAAGCAGTCCGCGGTGAGACATCGTTACATAAGCTTGCCCGGCGACGACAGATCAAGGCTGGCAGAGGGCGCAATGGGCAAGGCAAGGTCAAAGGTGGCGAGCGGGGGACCGACGTCTTGATCACGGTGCCTGTGGGAACGATTGTGCGCGAGCTACAAAGACATGATCCGGTGGCGATAATGGAGGATGAGCACTGGAAGATGGAGCAAGATGAAGACGCAGAGGAGCTGGAAGAGGGACAGCCCAGCTACAGGAGAGACCGATGGCTGGTTTACCCCGGCACTATACCCTCAGAGTTGAGCAGGATCAAGTTCCCCAAGCTCCCTCCACCGCGAAGATCGCATCTCGCAGCCCTCGAGCCGGAAGCGCCCATGTGGCTGGACTTGGACAAGCACATGGAGACGCCTATGCTGATCGCAGCCGGAGCGATGGGCGGCCTGGGTAACCCACACTTTATGACGCCGTTCAACAACAGGCCGAAGATGGCTACGCGCGGAGATGAAGGCCTGAAGATATCACTACAACTAGAATTGAAGATTCTTGCGGATCTGGGACTGGTTGGGCTGCCCAACGCAGGAAAGAGTACGCTCCTCCGTGCCTTGAGCAACAGCCGTGCACGAGTCGGCAACTGGGCCTTTACAACCCTCCAGCCAAACGTCGGCACTGTTGTCCTGGACGACCACAAGGGACGACCGCTTGTCAGGTCACGCAGACCAAATGGAGAGCTGCGCGAGAACTTTACCATTGCCGACGTTCCGGGTCTCATCGAAGATGCGCATCTAGACAAAGGGCTCGGACTAGGCTTCCTGCGACACATTGAGCGCGCCGCAGTCCTCGCCTTCGTCATCGACCTCTCCGCCGGTGATGCTGTCGCAGCGCTCAAGCTGCTCTGGCGCGAAGTATCCGAGTACGAGACACTGCGCGGAAAGGAACTCAACGCCGAGACAGAGCGCAGGATGGTCACATACACGCCCGCTGGTAAAGCACCACCGAGCGACGCATCCGACCTTCTCGACTCGCCGCATCTGGATCCTTCGCCGAAGCCTCTTCCCTTCCTGAGCACAACTCCGATCTCGTCGAAGCCGTGGTTCGTTGTCGCGACAAAGGCCGATTTGCCGGATACGCAGGCCAACTTTGAGGCTCTTCGTGCGTATCTGGAGGAAGTGAGCAAGGGCGCGCAACCCCATCCTAGTAACCGCAAGCATGCGTGGCGGCGCAACGTGCAGACTGTGCCGATTAGTGCGATACAGGGTGAGGGTGTGCAGGTCATTCCGCAGTTGGTGATGGACTTGTTGGAGGAGTAGAGTAGTAATGATACCCTTGTCTCCTCTCATTTGAACTCTGTGTGCATCATCTTTGGTACGGGCCCTGTGAATTTTCGCGGTATTGTTTCGAATTGGCCACTTGCCCTACGCATACATACTGATATGCTAAGAAGATCTCGTTCTCTGAGGCGCATTGCACAGAAAGGGTTACTTGAAAGTATACATCACGTCATGAGGCTCTTATTGCAGAGCATCACATTTAACTGCAGGATATGCGTTGGCGCTCATCATTAGTTCTGGCATACGCATTCCACGGTTGCTTCCGACGTACATGTGTAGTTGAGTCGAAATTTGGAAGGCGCGACCGTGACGACCATATTGAAGCGCTACTTCCTAATGCGCAGTTTCGCGAAGCGCAAGTGGGGTGGAGGGGTAAACATCACAGTCAATACCACTTGCCTGGCTTTCTCACACACTTGTATTCTCTCTCCGTGATACTGTTGCATCACTGCCCGCCTCCAAACTGACTTCCATCTCATATCAGGACACCAGATTGCTTTCCGTGCATATCGTGCACTGAGAGGCTTCAGGTGCAATTCCCTAAGTACTCCGAAATCATGCAGACAGCTGACAACCAAGTTCAACAACTAGTGAAAGACATCGTGCCATTAAGTCCTGCGATATCGAAGATCGCTGGAAGCATTTGCGACAGGTCCAACTATACCGCGCTGGAATTAAGTGTTTATCCTACCGACAAGACAACTGCGCAGCTAGCAGACGCATCTGTATGGTAACAAGTCTTTACCGCTAGCTGTCTACATCAATCTGCGTACCTTACGTTGACCGAAGAAAGAGATGGTGAACATATCTTGGCTGTCCCATGGGCCGTTAAGACATAGCGAATAGTCGCAATGGCTATCACAGCGGGCGAAGCCCGCCTATGATAGCCCTTATGCAGCTGCTGGACACGCACAGGTCACCCGAAGACTTTCCAAAGCTTTGGTGGTTCGAGCGTGGTCCACTTCCAAGTTTTGGTGTTCCCGACCGCCGCCGGCCCATATCCAGCTTTTCACGCGCCCCGGCGCGCAACATGAAACGCCTCATTATATATACCAATCTATTCGTCCAACCTTCGCCTTCGGGCATTTGGTCAATTTGAAACGATACAGAGAAGATTAGCATGGCCCCTGCACTAAGGATGACACGCTCAATCAAAGAGAAGCTACCATTTTTTTGCTCTTTGATCTGACTCCTCCGCAAAGTTAGTGCGTGGAGACCCGAGTTCGAGTCGAGCGGAGCTCTTCTTTTTGCCCTCTTTTTGCCGCGCAAGGGTCCAGCGACCTTTCTTCACTTGCAAAAACGCTCAGAACACCATTTCTTCTGCACTTCACATTTTGCTATCTTCGCAAACACAGATATCGCATTGCAAATCCCTCCAAAATATCCTATCTACTCCGGCGCCAGATCAAGAGCAAAAAAACGGCAGCTTCTCTTTGATTGAGCGTGTCATCCTTAGTGCAGGGGCCATGCTAATCTTCTCTGTAGATGGGGGGCGCCGCTGCGCGGCAGGCTGGCAGAGGCGGCGGGCTCGCTGACGCTCGCCAGCCGCCTCGCCCTGTACTCTGACTGTGTCGACTCAGCCTTGTCGCAGACCACGCCCTGGCAGCTACCATCTTAGTATTACCGCCTTTTGGGTTGTCGCAGCGCTGATGTAGGCGTCTGGACTAATCTTTTCGCGACGAGATATGCGAATAGGACCTTGGAACCCGGGCACTCAGTGCAGGCTCGCGGGTACAGCGCCTTCGTTCCAACCACTTTGCGAGCCTCTTCAACGATATAGCGAAGGCACACTATCGTAGTATCAGTGTCGACTTCAAAGTCCTCTTCCTCAGAAATATCCCTAAGGAAAAGCAATCAATGGAAAAGCTACCCGCCTTACACATTATGTTTCTCGAGAGAGACGCCGCAACGCTCAACGAGCTCGCACAAGATCTGGATTGTTCCTGGTCCCGTGCCATTAGCAGCCAATACATTAATACCTCTTTCGAAGTTTCGACAATGTCCATCACCGGGCCTGCAGTCGAAGCGCGCTTAGAGTCAAACCAGGGATGCTTTCTGTGCTGTTGTTCGCAAAGCCTGGCAACTACATACATTGGAATACTGCGTTCCAGGTTATGGCGACACCAATGTAGTCGCCTGGGGTAAATTAACTTTGTGACAATGCGCAAAAAAGATCTCTCGTACTTCTTCTTTCTTAGCTCTTGTAGGGTCTAGATCGATCCTGTCTCTTGTCGGCGGCATCTCAAAGACACTGGGCCGGGTCTGTACATGTTGGCGAACCGCCTCGAAAGTCTCTCTCACGTTCTAGTCCTGGGTTCGGAGTGCCTGCCACTTCTCTCCAGCTTCCAGTAGATGGCGGGCATGTCCATATCGTGGCCGGTCGATACAATTGTTGGCGAGATACCGGCGACGTGGTCGCAAGTCTTCAGTATCCAAGCCATCAAGCCAGTCGACGAGCGGAATGAGCCGCAGGATAGCTTCTCGGCATTCCTATCCACCATCAGCCAGGGCCATCCTTCCAGCTCATCGCCGTTTCCAATGCCGCTGAATCTGATGCCGAGACGATCAGCAGGGTCGTCGTATGCGAGATGGATACCGGAATCGCGAGCGATAGTATGTGGGTGACCTCCACCCATGACGCTCCAGATCTGGAATTCGTGATTGGCTTTGCCGCATACATAGCTTTGGGAACTTTTGATCTAACAGGGTCTCGAGAGGCCCGGGAGCACTTCATAGACTTCCAAGGATTCCCCCAGCGCCCGAGGAATCCGTCAGAACCTCCAGGCTTAGCTGTTATATACCTGGGTAATATCGTATCGCATTTTGAGAAACTGGCTTTGCCGTATATGTCGCATGAGGAGATTGCGTTCTAACAGATAATGCAGGACCTAGGAGCACTTCACAGTGTTCTAGGAATTTCTCTAACGCCTTAAAAAAGCGTGAGGGCCTCCAGGCTTTACCCTTATGTACCTAGATAGACTTTTATCGCCTCGAAAGAAATCGCTTTTGCCGCATACATAGCAGCCGGGAATTTTGCTCTAGTAGGTATTGGTGGGTCCTGGGACACTTCACATAGGTCTGAGAAAATTTTCCGGAACGGCTTCTCATACACAGCCGTCGACATCACGCGAACGGATTGGGCGGACGCCTTCGCAGCAACCGAGCGCCAGGGGCTAGGGCGCAAGGCTGATTTGAAGGGAGTGCAGCTGCTGCCGCATCTATAAGAGCTGCTGATACAGATGATGGACGTCAGCCGGCGTGTCTTGTTCGCCGAGACCTCCCAACACACAGCCAACTTCTCTGAATAGGTGTAAGATATAGTAGACGACGCAGCCCAGCCATAATGCAACGTTTTCCTCGATCTGTGATCATAAGTTCTTGTCTTTGCATCTATAATGAGCCCGTCGCAACACTCGCCGTTCCGAGAACGTTCTGTCGCAGCACGTGTGCGAAGCAATGACGTGATGTTGTCGCTGAAACTGCTCTGGGTTGATAGATAACCGACACTCTGAATACGATGGTGCTCTTGCAGTTGGCGTAAGGGCTACTGTGACTTTTGACCCCGGTCAACGCCCATGACCTTTACGACCGCACGGAGCTTGTCACGAGGTCTGGAAGCTTTAGTCCGCCCCAAAGACCTCTTCTACTACATGCATGTTATTGGGTCCGGGCAGCTTGGTACCGCTATGTCATGCGAACCAAACAGCGTAATGGCCCATCTTCACGGCAATTGACTCAACTAGACAGGTGCACATACGGATCGACAGTGTCTACATCATCACAAACAAGAGTCAAGTGTCATAACAGGAGAGAAGTATCATGGATTCATGAAGAATAACTACCCATCGGTCTTGCTAAAGACGGCAGTAAGATAGAGCAGCCGTCTTGTAGACAGCAGAGTCAAAAACAGGCCGGAGCAGGAAAACGAGAGGGCTGTATACTCCCTTCTAAGCCCAGCCAGCGTCGGCATACTGCCTCAACTTCTGCTCGTCGCCGTGGTGCTTCCAGATACGAACGTAGTTAACTTGGCATCCCTTCCAGGTCTCGGCGTGCAGACCTAGGGATGTGATCTCGAGATACGTCTCAAAACCAGGATTTTCCTTAACCTGTGGTCTACCTTGTATGTGACGGAGCATCGAGTGAACGGAGCGGCGCGGCACGACAGGGTACGGGATCTTGTGCGTGTCATGATAGCGGTTTTCTTTGAAGGCGTTGTTCTGGATGTTCGGCATAGCGATTATGTATACACTACGTTGCCTCGCGGGAGACTAATGTTGCCGGCTACATGACTTGCGTATTGGATAGAGTATCCCAATCATCTCGGTGAAGCATACAAACAAGAAATCGAATAGGTGCGCTGCAGTCTACGTTGGTACAAAGATGAAAGTTGGCAATGTCTCAAAGGTAACGTAGACTTCCAGGAGATATCCTTCCGTTATTCCTTCAGGAGCTAGTTGTGCGACAGTCTAATCATCCGACAACATCTCCATAGTGTGGCGAACTCGTGTTCGAAAGCCTACATAGACACACATACATCGCAAAACTATCGCACAACAAAACCAGACTCCATTTTCGCGGGCCTACCGCCCATTGTGGGTATCATACCTGAACTGAACGGACGCATGAAAGCAAACCCTGGGTATACACCCGATCTCACTACCATTTCCACACTCCATTTGCCTACTTCTCCACCTTCGCGACCTTCTTCTCTCTCTTGACTTTCTTCTCTTTCTTCACTTTCTTCAAGTTCGGATCGAGCCCGCATTCCAGAAGAGAAGTCAGAATAGGTCCCTTGCACTGTTCCCTCGCCACGCCAACCTTGCGCTCCAGCTCGGCGCGCAGCAGCGTCACGGCATCATCCTGCAGCTCAGGAGTGCTGAGTTGCTTGTACGACGCCTTGATCTCTGCTATGTGAAATGCGATAGCTTGTCTGCCAATCTCCAACAACGCTATCTTCTTGGCTTTCCAAGCGGTTTCAAACATGTCGACCATTTGGTCGTAGGGACTGTTCTTTCCGCATATGCGCGCTTCCAGTGTCTGCATCTGCACCTCTTTCATGGTCAACTTGCCCACCGGTTTTGCCCGTAATGTGGCAGTGTAGACCGGTTTCATTTTTTGGGGAAAGAAGTCACCGTTGCCGTCTTCAGTAAGACGTCCTCGGAACAGCCGAAGGAATATCATGAGGTCTTTGCCGACAACATTATACATCTTGTAGAGTTGCGGTTTCTTGTCGTCAAGGTTCGCTACGAAATTCTTGCTGTCGAGCTGTTCGGCGGCAACGCGAAGGGCTTCCAGGAAGTCGTCCACGACTCCTTCTAGCTGGTATGCAAGGCTACCCAGCCTGGAGGGTGCTTCTGCGATTAGCTCCTTGAACAGCGGGTCGAGCGTCTTCTGGACAGGACCCAGAAGCGTAATGTTCCAACTGCAACTCGGCAGTCCCTTTGTCCGGTGGTTGCCTAGCTTGTTCAAGTAGCACCGTACGGCGTTGCCATGCAACTTTCGCCAAACATTGTTGATGTTATGGTGACCTTCGTTCTTCCAATCGCCGACTCCTTCCCTCATGCTCTTAATCCTCGGAAGGATGAGTTCATTTTCGAAAACGTCGAGGAAGACTTCGAGCGGCTTCAACAGTTTGGATGCGAATTCGTCAAAGTTGAACCTGGGCCCTGTCTGCACCGGCCCGGAAGTCGTGCTGCAAGCGAGCTCGATATAGCTGAAGAGCTCGGGTAGTGTTCGCCTGTAAAACCGAAGAAGATCTTTCTGCAGCCGTTCATTGGCGATAGTGGCGAGTTCCCTGCATAGACTGGGGATTTGGGTGGACTCAACGGACAGCGGCAGATGCTCGTCGGTGTACTGGTGGTAGCCCTCGACATGCTCCATGTAGTCTTTTGCCGAAGTCGTCATAACTGTCAAATCTTCGTTCTGCTTTGCGAATCTTTGCCTCAGCCTGTCGCTGATGCGACGACCTCGTTCTCGGGCACATATTTCGTTCTCTTCGAGGGTCATGAAAGCGATCTCGCGGGCGCAGTGGTCTCTTTGCGCATAGTCTGTTGGCGCGTAGCTGTCCTTCTTTCTCCGAGTTTCTGCTTTACGTTCGGCTAGCCAGTCGAGATCAGCTATCTCATGTTGGTTGAAATCTGCATCTTTGCGATCCGATGGATTCAGATTGGACTCTCCCATTGTCAAGGCGATGATGATGCATTGATCGGGTCTCCTTGTAGTACGGTCATTAATTAAGTGGTCAAGAAACGCGCTATCGCCAGCTCTCGTGATTTCTTCAGCGACTATGACTACTTTGCAGTCCTGAAGATATCGGTTCGCTTTTGTTTCACGGTCCTATCAACACACGGTTAGCTTGAGCGATGTCAACCTGGGAAGGGCACAAGCTTGCCTTGTTGATGTCCTGTAGTCCGGGGCAGTCGCCGATCGAGTAGCGAATCCGAAAGTCACCAAAGACCTCAATCCTCTCTACGAGCGCAGAGGGGTTGAAACCAAGTTTGGTGTCGTCCATCTTGGCTTGATCGTCGCTGAATTGCGCGAGCTCTCTCCGCAGCTCCGTCACATTGGTAGCGTAGATACCCTGTGCGGACATGTTGGCGATCTTCTGGCGCCGTTCCTCAGCCCACTTGACGCATTGACCAAACGCATCCTTTTGCTTCGCTACTGATGAGAATTTGTGCGAATTGACATCATATCCTAGGAATGTCCAAGTAGATTCGTTCGATGCGAATTCTGGAATGTCGCTGAACAGATTCTGAAGCGCCCGTAGACTGTCTTGGCCTTGATCGTCAAGCTCTATGGGCCCTTCCACGCATCTTTTGAGGTTCGCTACAAGATTGGCAAGATGCTGTTGTACTGAATCTCGACAGTCGATCTTGCCGGAAAGCTCCAGTCTCACCTCGTAGGGTGTTTGTATGTGCGCTCGACGTGGTGAATATACAATTGGAATGCGAGTTGTTGCCACGCCGCTTGCCCCCTAGACAAGTTAGATGACGTGATGCTTTGGGGAGGTCGTGCTTACCGATCTTGCAATCCCATCGATGCCCAAGATAGCATCTATCAATTTCGACTTCCCCTGCCCAGTCTTGCCGACGACTGCCACACGCTCGGGTTCGCTTTGGTACTCGTCCATCACCTCGTTGAGTTTGGGTCTGAGACTTGCGGCTAGTTGCGGGTCCTTGTCTGGCTTAACAGCTAGGATGAAGTCTTGTGGAATCTCCAGGCAAGCCCTCTCGGCTTTCATGAATTCATCATCGTAGGCGAGTAGATCGGGCAACGTTTCCGTTGCTGGATCGTGACGAACAAAGTCCTTCGTATTACCCTTAAGATATTCTTGATATCCTGCTATTCTCCGTTCTACCCGCCGTTTTGCGGATGGGCGTACTGCCTTTGACTTGGCTGGCTGTGCTTGCTCGGAAGCTGTAGTGGTCAGTGTCTGCACAGTGGCCGGTCTTGGATAGGACCTTAAGATGTGATACTCACCTGGTCTTTTCTTCGGGTTCACCATGTTGGCCCGAGAGGTGCTTGGTTGGAGAACGGACGCCACCATCTCAGATGGTTCAAGGCGTTACGATCGCGACTGTGGAGGTCTACTATTACTGCAACGAGGAGTTAGCAATGTGTGTGGGAGGACAGATGTCGCACGCTCTGCATATGCTATATAGGTAAATCTCTGTGCAAGAAAAAGCTTTGGCTGCAGCGGCACATGATGCGATGAGCAAACGCTGTCTGAGACAATACATGTTTATTGCCGTTGATGTTTGACTTGTTGGTCCCATTGCAGAGATCGAGCAATGCTTCCATCGTGCATGGACCAGTCATGTCGTCTCAAATGTCTTGCCGGTCGATTTGTCCCAGACGTTGTCGTGACACCAATGCTGGAATGCTCCATGGTCTGTATGGCACGCTCGTTTGCGCGCACAGCCTCGCGCACGGCTAATGACAGGTGACAGAACTTTAAAACTTCCCGCACGGTTCGGCATGGCAGAGAAGAAAGGGAACATGAGGATACATACCGGAAGCGAGTGATTTTAAAAGCAGCAGATTCCTTTGCTGTGCCGCTCGCGATGCTAGGGAAGGAATGATATGTGCGCGCCGATGGTCCGGAGGGGTCGAAAGCGATTTGTCGCTGATAAGACGCGTCGCGCATGCACCCAGGCGGCGTAGTACTTGGCGCGCGTGCAAAGACGGTCGCGATGAAGGAAATGAGGGACGCGCCCAGTGTGTTATAGAATCTGACGTGCGAATGCCGCGAAAAAGAAAGCAACGGTGTGGAGGGGAAACCTGGAAGAGGTGGTCGCAAGGTTCTGCGCGTCGAGATACACGGTCGCACTTTCTAGCTGCAAGCAACACCAGGTACTAGCAGGAGACGAAACGGTACGAAGGCAGGTGCGCTTCTCTACCTTGGGGTTAAGGGGTTTCAAATACTCCACCCTCGGTATCCTCTAATGAAAATGACATCAATTTCTTCGCCGTTAGACGATGGCAACACAGCGCGAACCCCCAGCGCGTTCTCCCGGCCGTGCGCTAAACCCTGGTCTCAAACTCAATGCGATCAACATGCCGCGTGCAGATGGCAGTGAAGACACCCGTTCAGCTGTCGTCCAGGTGAACATCCCAATGGCCCGATTCTAGAGGAAGTGAGATTGGATCACCTAGGCAACATCCCACGCCATGTTGCAATGGGTGAGTTCGAGATTGCCGGCCAATACTTGTATCCTGTCCGCTAGTGAAGCCCCGAAAGTTTCTTCAATGTCGAATGTGACAGCTTCTTATCGAACTTGAACCGTTTACCTAGCAACCGTTGAGTGCATCCTCTCGTGAAGACGCTTGGAGTGAGTGGAAGCGTCGCGACCAGCAGCATGCATCGACGTTGCTGCCGCTGCTGCAAAGAGCTCGGGCCAAGGAACGCGAGCGGAGCTTCGGTCGGCCCGGGCATAGCGCGCTTTGTGGTATCAGTTCCAGAAACTTCTGCCTCGAGCTCCCCTCTACATAATTCGCATCAACACCTCGACTCCTTCAACATTCTGCACCTGCGCCTTGATTTGTCGCTTGTATAGATCCGTTCCAGCTTGAGCGCTACAATTTGTAAGTATTCACCACCCTTTACCAATCCTTGAATGATGAGACACAAGCTGGCACCAGTCTGAGAAGACTTGTACTCTTTATATGCGGATCAGCTGCTTAGACTTACGAGTCGCCCTCTGACAATATCCCACTACACGTGTTTTTC